CTTGTTTAATCATTATATCCGTTCTTATATTATTTTCTCTGAAAATAAGTAATACAAAAGTGAAGTGAAAATATAATAACTATCTACCAATCTTTGTACATATGACAATCCTTACTCTACTAAAACAAATTGCTAAACTCTCAACAGTCATTTGCGATGCAAATTATCAGCAAGCATAACTAGAGGCAACTCAATGGTGAAACTAAGCCATGCACGCTATACAAAGGGTAGTCAACCGCATGCAATTGCAGCAATCACATCACAGCTCTTGGACGCCATAATTCTGAATTTCATGTTGCATTTTCTGTACACAATCAATTCTGTTGTTATCACGTTGGAAACAACAGGGGGTTTCATATCAAGTAGAAGGATGGGGTATACCAATTGAAAACTCCTTTTAGACCCTCAAAGACTTGGTGAAGAACGTGCTAGAATCAAGAGCAGGTACATTGGCTCTGTTCAGTTTAAGAATCCTACTTCAATTTGACAAATCAATCTAACGAGATAAGAACCTTCATATGCTTCTATTCAAAATAAGATGAAAAGTAGTAAGCACCAGTTTTCATTTATAAAACATGCATGGCATTTACAATCAAATTAAATGATAATATTTCTCACATATGTAGCTAGCATCTTACTTGACAATTTTGCATGTTTAAGTTGCATCAAACGGAGACTAGTTCCAATATTGCATGAGGTAGGGAAGGTCTACCATCAAAACAAATCATCACTATTAATACAAAATTAAGCCACAGTTAACAAGTAAAAAGAAGAATCACTGCTTCCGTGTGTACATGCATCTTTCTGAAAAATGAAGAAATGAGAATACAGCAGTCATTAGGTAATAAAAAACTTATTAAGCTAGCAGGGCCAACCAACAATTACAGATTAAGAGTCTTTATCCCAATGTGAAAGCAATAAGCTGCTGGAGTTTCTGTTGTACATCTAAAGCAATTATTTACAATATAAGCCTACAACAATCATTTCATGAAGAAATTTCTCTGCTATATCATTCACGTTTATTTCAAAAGAGCACGGATAATTTTTTCGAAAGTTACAATGTCACGGAAAACACCCATTGTCTTCCATTTTTGACCACAAGGACAATGCTTCATCAACCATGTCCTCTCTACGAAGGCCATTGATCATAGCATTGTATGCTGACACATTTAGATGATAGCAGGCTAATCAATCCTTAAAAACTTTTGTGCATCCTAAGTCTTCCACCTTTGCTTTGCGATAAGAATATATATGTGTAAACATCCTTGCCTTATTGAATAATGCAATTGCTATATCTAAATTATGGATTTTGAATAATGCGTTAAGGAGTTGAAGGTAATTATATGGGCTGGTTTACCTCTATCATGCATCTCATCAAGCCAGATATATCAAACAGTGTACGTTATCTTTGATATGGCGATTGCATTGTTCAACAAGGCAATGAAGCTACAGAGGCCATCCGTCCTGATGTACACTATACTCATGGAGACATTACAAAATTGGTTTCGCGGTCATGGTATTTTAGTTTTTCAAACTCTCATTCACACAAAACACTGGATGGGTTTTAGACTGAATAGAGGAGTGAATTTAGTGACCTAAAATAAATGAGAATGCAAAATATTTATATGACTATGCCCATCATAAAGCCTAATTCGAAAAATTAGTAAGATTAACCTCCTTATAAAATAAAAACTGAATGGGATATGGATCACATTATGTTAGTATTTTATATGAACTAAAACTGAAATGTGTTGCTAACAAGAAACTCCAAAATCTTATGAATCTTCTGCACAAAGACAGTTGAAAGTTGCAACATCATGGCTATGCTGTTACCAAATTTCTTTGATTTGAATGACTTTTATGAAAAGATAGAGAGCCTCCATTTATAGAGTGGTAGAGGAATCCCGCCATGCATCACCGAATTTGATGGCAGCCACAATTCTGGCTAGTTCTCCGCGCTACTTTTCTCTGCAGTTGAAGAGTATCATGCCTGTTTACTGAAAGACTGGCAGGCTCTTGCGGAGCTATCAAAATCTCCCCAATTAGAGAAAGAGAGGAACCAGAAACTATAGATCCGCCAATCAATGCCATGCTTACTGAATAAAGGAAATAACCAGCTGTATTTCATGCCAAACCTGAACACCTTTCTTTTAAGCATTAAGTCATTAACCACAGAACCATAGCGCTTGCCACTTGCAAAGAAAGAGCTTTTAAGAATCAAGTCAGGCAGTAAAGCACAGACATGGCATGCAGTAAAGCATAGATAGGTCCTTACTTAAGTTAGTATTTTCAAACACATTCGTAATAAAATAAGAAAAAAGATATATTAAATATATAATGACACTGTTGAGAATATATATTAAAGTTGTTAAACATGAGAATAAGTATGTGAAATTTTATAAAATGTGGATGCAAAAATTGGTACTATAATATCCACTACTATAAATTTGCTAATTTTTCCTTTGGATTTGTTTTGCAAGAATATCTGGCAATTTTTTTTTGATAATTTTAATTTTTTTTCTGGTTTTTTCCTGCAGATTTACATTATAGGTAAATTTACAGAAAATTTTAAAATTTTTTATGAATATTTCTACAAGTAAAAACAAGTAAATAAAATAAAATATATTATTTTGGTGACTTTTGTTGTTAAAAAATTTGCAAAAAAAAGAAAGAAAAGATTGTAAGAAAATTTGCAGATAGATTAGAATTTTCTTTGTCTCTTTTCTGCAATTATAAATTAGCATGAAAAATTTATTAGTTCTTATATAATTTTTTGTTACAAATTTCGTAGGAAAAAGTTGCCGAATAATCTGCAGGAAATCTCACTATTTGGTGCAGATCTTGTTATTCTTATATATTTGGGATGAAAGCTTTAACTTTAATCCATTTGCTGCTGGTAATAAGTTGGTAAAATTAACTTTTTCGTTCCCTTGATAATTGTCAGCTTATTATGAGCACTTTTTCTGGAAAGAAATGAAACTATACAACTGGAATAGGCAGAACTTTTTCACAGGAATATTGTAAATTTACTTGTAAATTTTTTTCATATTTATTTGCAAATGAATTATATGGGAATTTACCGGAAAATTTTCCTGAAAAATTTTCTACAAAAAATTTTGCAAAAATTATATTTGTGATATTTTTCCTATCAAAATTTGTAGGAAATTTACTTGCGAATCTCAAATATGTAGGAAAAGAATACCCACGAAGGTCTTTCCTTGAGACTCAAATCCGCAGACCAAAAAACACATGTTTTTGCGAATTTTAAATAATAATTTGCAGGAAAATAGCTAAAATTCTACTAGTGATCATATTATTGTCATTTCTATTTATAAATTATATAGGATTGTTTTAAATTAAAAATAATAATCTTTTTTAGTTTAACATTTTTTATTTTTTATTTATGTATCTTTTTCTTTTTCTTTTTTTAAATGAGTCAATAATCGTATGCATAGATCATGTTACGTAATTATAAAATTCATCGAAAGAAAATAAAAAATGGTTTTTTTACTTATTTAAATAAGTGAAAGAAAGTGTAAAAATAAATAAATAATATAGAACCTTTTATATTAATTTAAAAAATTAAATTTATCTTATAGAAAGTGCAATATTTTTCACAATGTATTTCATAAGGAAATTAAGTATACAGATGTGATGTGGAACCCAGTAAAATTCTCAAAATTTAGGCATTGATCACAACTCAATATATGAGCAAGTTTCACTCTTTCCATTTTAATTCCTCTCATTACATTCAATATATGTGTTAAAGCCATAATGCACTTTGATAATAAATTATATGCTAATAAGTGTACCAAGTATTGTATAGAATTATAAATATTTGTTTAATTTTTTTTAATTTCAACAAATATTTAAATTTTGTTTAAATAATATAATTTAAACAATTAATATAAATTAAAATAAAGAACTATAAGTATAAATTAAAATAATTAATAAAACTATAAACTCATTTGAATGGATAACTAATTATAGAGGAGAATTGATTTGATATAAAAATTCATGAAACGCATATTACAAAATAGAAAAAAAAAAGAGTACACGACATGCATGACTTTTATGAATTAAAATATAAATTTATATTATAAAAGTTGATTATTCAAGCTATATTAAGAATTTGGTAATAAACATTTATCCTAAAAGTAAATGCCAGATGGAGATCGAAGGGGTAATTAGTAAGAACATTATTTTCTAAGACATTTATTGAAAAATTATTCTCGCATTTTATTCAAGGCACTATTCATTCTACTTCCTAAAGCTATTTTACTTATGTAGAAGCAGTAAGCTAAAGTGACTAATTTCGCTTATACACATTCTTATCGCTATAATTAATGATCAAATTAAAAATAATAAAAAAACAACATTTTAAATTAAAGTCTACTTAATTATTTAAAAAAATTCTTGTGACCAGTTTATGAAATTATATGTTTTATAAAAAAATTATTTTATTTTAATAAGTTCTCTTGTATAATTTATTAAAACAAAATATTAAATGTACCTTTAAATAAGTTATATATATCTATATGTGCATTTAATTTTAAAAGAAATAATACGATTAGTAAATTTTATGAAATCCACATAGTACATATATGCCAGGTCGAATTAATTTTTAAGAAATTCTTACCATAAATAAAATTAAACCAAATAAATCAATTTTTTTAATAAGTTAATTAAATCATCTTATTTTTCATAAGAATTGTCAATAATCCAGACAAGTGCATTCCAATTAAAGTGAGCAATATTTATAAACTGAGAGAAAGAGTTAACAATGAAACATGATGAGATAGTAAAGCTTTGAATTATAAATACAATCTTTTGCAACAACTAACGTTACATAAGATGAGACCACACCAAGGAACTGAAATGGAATGACATGAAACCAAAACATCACATCCATTAGGACTAGTACTTTTACTAACATTATATTATAACATAACCACACCAAATATATCATAATATATATATTTTTCTTCTAGTCTCTGGCCAGAACACTTGGATCAATATGCATGATAAGTAGGCGTAGAAAACCTCTTCAAGTTGTAACACTTAATTAGCACCTTGGGAATGGAGTCCCACAAGTGCTAGCAACTTTCCTTGCATTGGGAGAGTCAACAAACTTCTTAAGATTGGGATTCTTGAGGTATTGGCAAAGGCAAGGTTTTTGTTCCTTGATCTTGGAGCAGCATAGGTTAGATGGAGGAGTTGAAGAGGTGATTGCACTCACACATGAGCTAAGTTGTACTGGGCTGCATGTTACTGCCATTGACACTTGAACTTGAGCCAGAAACAGCACCACCAAAGTGCACAAAGCAATGTGTGATGCCTTCATTTTCACCCTAGGATATTGGATAGTGTTTTTTTGTTGTGTGGAGGATGTGAGAGTGAGAATGAGATGAATGATTAACTGCTCTTCGGTTCTGCATTTTGTATTGAGTTTCCTCCCTATTTATATTGTGAGCTTAGAGGAAAAAATTAAAATAAAATATGTGAAATGGAAGCACTGGAAGGTGGGATCACATTAAGAATGAGGGAGAGATGTTTTGTCCCATACTCCCTCTTTTTTAAAGTTGGTCCACTTGTTCAAAGGTAAAATTGCTGTAGTCCAGCATTCAAATTACGGCTTTATGATTTTGGGTAAATGTGAATGTTTTTAGAAAATATCAACATTAGTTTTTTAGACTGATTTTAAACTATTAAAAGAAATAAATTTTAAACAGAAAAATAATATTGTTACTTAATATTTTAAAGGTATTATTTAAGAAATTAATAAATTCAAAATATTATCAATTATGTTAATTAGATTCGTTAAAAATAATCCTGAGAGTATATTAATAATACTTTTAATAATTTTTGTTTTATTTTTATCTCTTTAACTAATGGTCTTAAGCAATCAGTTAATATTTATTTGGAAAAATAATATTTATTACTTTAAAACTTTAAAAAAATATGATAAAAAAATTAAATAAAAATTTTAAATGTTTGAGATTGATGTTATTGTTATGTATAATCAGCACAAATGCACAAGTTCATTTTTTATTTTATTGATTTTATAACTTATCTCTGGATGAAGGGAAAATCATATCACTATTTTATATTTTGATAAAACATAGATGTAGTTCAGTCGAAATTAAAATTTTACCTCAATAATCAATATAATAAAAATTAATATTAAAAGGTGATATTAATCTTTTTAGTAAAATTTTAATTTTAATTAGAAACGCTACAAATATATTTGATGTATATCATCAAGCTTTATCTATTTTTATTTTTTTCAGCTGATCGTTGAGAATGCATTGCTTGGCCACGTAAGAGTTGAAGTTTTAGAGATGCTAATGAACATATGGCATATTTTAGACTCTTGAGATATATTGTACCTTTCGGTGGAACTACTAGGTCAAACCAATTGTAACAGATAAGGCTGAATTGCTGAAGCTGAAGCCAAGGTCATTTTCAGTGCAATTATTTCCTACTGTTCACTGCTGTGCTGCAAAATTTCAATCTCTAACCAAATGGGAGAAAAAAGATAGAAAGAAAGACTCCAAAACATGCGGTGAAATTATTATTCAGTCAAAAAGTTAGATTGCTGATTTCAGCATAAAAAACATTTACAAAGTGGCAGAGATTTCACTAGAAACATTTTTCTTGGCCTTTCAACATCCAAGGATCTTGGACTCTTGGCACCGAAATGTATATAACATATTAAAATGTACTAAAATTAGGTCATATTAACTTATTCTTAAACTATTTGAACTTCTGTAGCACAAGGACAAACCATTCAGATGTGTAATTGATATTAACTGCTTACTGTTAATCAATCTCATTCTAACATTTCAAGTTGGCTTAAGTATATATTAAAAAATAATAAGATAATATTATCATTTTTTTAATTACTAGATTAATTAAAGCAACAAATAAAGAATGTCCAATATAATAATATAGTTAATATTATCATATTAATAGAGATTTGCACTAAACATTTGACATAGAACCGCTACAAGCTTATATTTCAGTTTTCATAGATTATAAATAGATTTTCCTATTCTTTTCCCATCTCTTTCCAAATTTCTATTACCATGCATGAATGTCTGTGACCCACCATTCCGGCTGTGGTACCTTTCGGTGTGTTGATGTAGTATTTGTTTACATCAAGGTATGGTTCTTTTATTATAAAGTCACATGCTCGCTTATGATGAACATAACACGCACTGGGAAATTGGTAAGATGAATTTTACAATCACTAGCCATCATGATAAAGCAGTGTACTACGCAGTGCAATAGATTGCAAAGATTAGAATGTCTCCATTGCATAATTATCGATGTAAAATTATTTTCAAGGTGCAAGCCAATCGAGAGCAATCTATGAGGTTTCATTGAAGCAAAGGATATGAATTTGATCACTACCAGATTAGTGTTATAAAAGGCAGTAATTAATAAGCATTTCTGAATTGTCTAGCGAAAATTCCTATGATCATAATGATTAAGACCCATCTAATTGAGCTTATTATACAATTCTCACCAACTTGGAAGTGTTGTATATTCTATTGGACACAAGATTCTCTTAGCAGTGGTAAAAAGTGAGGATTAGATTTGCTATTTTCAATGTGAAATTTTGTCCAAAGAAAAATGGAAAACATCAAGTGAAGGACTTATGACATTTCAAAAGAGGGTGTATTTTTGCCTTTGTAGGCGCCTGATCTTTGAAATTTTCACTTTAATTAGTTCATATTTGTAACAATGATCATTGATCTATTGTCTAGTGGAAGGGAAAGCAAATCTCACTCTTCCTAGTGAAATGAAGGCTACTTGTTTTATTAATCTTCTAAAAAAATTTCTCATTCTTCTCTAATGTGTTACAAGTGAAATTAAGTAGAGAAGGAAATGAAGACAGGTGTGTTGTCCATTTTAATTGACGAATCCCGAATTTAACAAATGTTACTATTTGAAGGCACTTGGTATGTTATGCTTTTTATTATTAACATCACTGCAAATTGATTCATAATTTACATTTAACTTGGGCGTACTATACTTTGAGCACGCCAAGCAATAATAATCATAAGCTCACTTCTACAATAATTCATATGGGAAAAGCAAAAGGGAGATCAGATTGGCGTGAATTCCCGCATATAATCATTGAATTTACGGGATTATTTTGGTCTATTCTAAGTCAAAATTAAAAGTGGTGTATTTTTATTCACCAATTAAAGTGGTTGTTATCATGCAACGTGTGGGACCTTAAAATTATGATAACTTCAACTTTTAATCTTCATGCTCCATTAATCATTGATTATTTATCATTGCTTACATCAGTCAATATTGGCCTAGAGAGTGCTGAACAATGATATTATTAAGCTCACATATCAATCTGCACAAGCTTAATTAATTAACTATTCTGATGCCAAGCACCAAACACCAGCATCCAACTTTACTTTTTCTCAAGATTGATGTCCCTTATATTTTCTTTAATACATATACTTGTTTATTTGGTCACGTTCCTTTTGCGAGAAAAATTATTAACAATGACTTAAGATGAGAGATCTAGCAGTAATCTTGCATGGTCACCCTCTGCCTGTGTAGCCACCAATTTGTTGAGACAAATTGATCAATGAAATTCCTAATTTCAGCCTTGAGTTAAACAATTTTATAGGCCCTGCCAGTGTTGTTTCAATATATGAATCATCAATGCTATAAGGTGATTTTGTGGGCCATAAGTATGCAATTTAAGAAGGTATAGGCATGTAGTAATGTATGATTACGTATAATACGTGGGATAATTAGGCATGCTTATGCGGCTACTTTTCCAAAAGGGGTATCCCAAGAGAATAAATATTTGTCAATTCCATCACCAGAAAATTTAATGGAAAGTTGTGCAGAAGAAACATGAAACGTAATTACAACATTCCTTCACATGAAAAGTATTTTATTATTTTTTTTCCTGTACGAAAAGGTTTAGGAGAAATTGTCCTTTCAAGGTTAAAGTACATGTCACAAGAGCATCATCAAAGAGCTTATTATAGTTTAAGGTGGTAAATAACATGTTTCTCTTTTTAAAATAGCATCATCAAACAGGTTTAATTTTTGTGAATGGACAAAGCAAATTTTAGAGAGAAAACCTTTATTAAGACTATGTATTTTGAAGTTATAGAGTTAATTTTTGTATTTAATGCATATTTTTATTATATTTAATAATTTACAATTAATTCTACTTGATTTTATGTTAAAATACAAGATATAATATTTGTGAGTTAACAACACATTATAATTTATAAGGGATATAAGCAAAAGAGTTTAAATTTTAAAATTATATAAGACATTTTAGATATGAAGAACATAATAACTCTCTTTTAATATTAGTTGAAATTCATATTCTAAAATCTTAATATAATATTAGAACTCAATCTTAAAAAAAAATATAAAATAGAACCCTAAAAATTAAAATTATAAGTCTAAATTAAAAAAAAAATACAAGTCTTAACTAACTCGCTCAAAGCTAGTTAGACTTATAGTATTAAGATATAAAATTTCACATTAAGAGGTTAGCAACATATTAGAAGCTTTATAAATAAATAAAAATCCTAAATTGTTTAAAATATTTTAAATAAGGAATTCATTCAAACTCTAACGAGTTCAAGTTCTAAAAAAATTAAGATCTAAATTTTTATATAAAAAAGAAGTTAAGAAAAAAAAAATAGACCTCTAATATTGAAAACAAATGCAAAGATAGTTAAACTTAAAAAAGTGCTAAAGATACAAAGAATTAAGGAATTTTAAACAAAATCAGAACCAAATAATCACCCTTTTCAGCCTAAGGATGTAAACACTTATACAGTTAAACTATAAACAGGAACACATTACGCGAGATCACTGTAATACTTCAGCTGTGTCTCGATCACTCGCATCCTAATCTCAAATATAGGCAGCTAAATACAAATACTAATTTGAGTGTTCTGAATATCTCTTCATATACTCATCAGGTCATTCTTTGTCTTGCAAGTATCAGCATTGTTGAAACTTCACTTTCAGAACACATTGGATTCGTTGGCATTTTTGTAAACTCAAACTTTGAAGGTCTATGCCACTAAATAATTTATTATATTAATATTCAATTAATAATATATATTAATAGTTCAATTTTTGTTAAGAAAAGCCTATACTAACAAAAATTAACTCAATGCTAAATTATTAGTGAATGATGGTGAGAGTTATTTAGTTTTATTTCTCTAACATGGATTCCTTGCGTACCACTTGTCTAGAGATGATAATCCATTACATTTATATTTGAACCAATGGCACACGTTACCACTATTATGTACTAAATCATTGTTTCTTACAATAGAATAAATCATGGTTCTAAATCAATTCTCCAATATGTGACTTTATTACATTGGATAAAATTGGTCACTACCTAGCAATTATACTAAACCATGTGGCAAGAGTGCAACACCTCCCATATATACACTTTCTTTTTCAGGAAAAATGGTGCAGGTGTGAAAGCGTAACACTTGTCTCACAGCCAAAAAAAAATGTTATTTTTCTTGATCAGTAAAAAGAAAATTATCATTTATTAATAAAAAATTATCAAGTGTTCCAATTTTATTACGACGCTAATTTATAACAGATACAATAAATTTTAAGAAAGAAATTTACATTGTCGCAAAATTGCAAAACGTCATTTTCTCCATTTTGGCTGAAAGAATCAATTTGTGATTATGGAGGTCGAGGGTAAGCTTAAAAAACATTTTTTAGAAACAGTGTGAAACTGTGAAAAAGTTGCCTTTTATACAATCTTAGCATCAACTTCATTTTTGTGCTCTCCAACCAAGCAAAGCCTTCACTAATTATAAATGATCAAGGTAAATTAACTATAAAGAAAAACGTTAATTATTCACTAATTTTATAAAATAACCATGAAATGCAAAAAATAAATAAAATTTGCAAAAGTATTTCTTTTTTTTTTTTAAAAAGAAGCTAGTGAATGTGTTCATCATTATGCCTAGCTTCCTCCACCCTACCTCGTCTCCCTTTTTGGCAAAGCCTCAACTTTGTTCGACTATTTACAATGCCCCAAGTTAATGTGTTCTTTCTAACTTTCCATTGAATATGCACTTTTTCTTCTTCATCCCCTAACTTTACTTTTTCTGTGACATGAAGTTGTCATATTAATTATTAAAATGAAAAGATTTAAATCCTTTTCTCATAAATAGGTGTTTAATACTGAAAATGTGAAAAATTGATTACTATTTTTTTGGGGGGGAGGTAGTTCTAGTTGCCTATGAGTTAAAAGTACAACTTGTTTCGTTATTTGCACTATTTAAAAGAAAAAAAAAACGATGTGTTCATTTAACACTGTAAAATTATTAAAATAATGATAAAGTACTCAAAATTATTGTTAAAATGAAATTAAAAGTTGTTTTAAAAAAATATCATTCAAAGTTACATATATACTTATTCACTATTGTCTATTAATATCACAATATGATGGAACTAACTCATCCAACAATTTTTGTTTTCACCAATCTAAAACCTGAACCAATCTCCCATGATAATAAAAAATCTTTGATATGATATAATTTGTCATAATTTAAATTTTAAATTGAAGTTGAAAATAAATTTAATTAATAGTATATTTAAAATGAATAAAATTTATAAATTGAAAATAAAATTAAATACTTAATATAAAATATGTCACGTCACTCGATAAGAAAACAATCATTTCCAAAAATACTCTCATTTTAAAAGTAAAAACTCAAATGTATAGTATAAAAAGAAATCACATAAATGCACAGGTACGTAAATCGCAATAAAAACACCTCCCTAGACGGAAACTCTTCCTCTCCACATGCCATAATTGGTTCTCCTTTGTCACTGTCAATATCTTCATAGAGGAAGAAGGTGTGAAGAATTTGAAATGCCATATTTACCAACAAAGGAAGAGTTTAGTGCTTAGCATTTCCCAGTTACCATATTGGATAAAATTTAAATTCTAAAAAGGACTTTGATCAAATTAAACGTGTTTACAATGATGTTTATTGAGTGATAAGGCTAACCCTGATGCTGAAAAATAAAAACAAATCTATTATCTTGTTTTTCTCACATGTCACATTGTTTTGGATCTTCTCTATATAACATATTTGAATTATAATTTTGTAGACTATGCTTTGATTTAAGGGAATGATATATAATTAGTGTTTGTTTATTTACTTCTTCCCAACCAATGGTTTCGATGTAAAATCGTGTATTTTTTTTTTTCTATAGTAATCAACGGGGCACCAAACCCAAGATTATTGATTAATCACGAGACGAGAAAAGACCACTTTCCCTGTATATTGTCATCCATCGTAAAAGGAATAAGGGTATCAAAATGACCGTACTGTGTCCTAATCTAGCTAAGTGGTGAATATATTTTTATTTGTCTTTCTATAGCCATGTTTCAAAAGGACTATCCAATTTTAATTATTAATTTTTTAATCTATAGTCAAATTTGTACTTTATTATTTATACACTCTTCTTTTCAAAGGACTCATAATCCAATCGGATCTATTCAGTTATTATCATTATTACTAGTTTAAGAAAATGTGTGTTTCATCATGTCTAACTCACAAATCGATCCAAGTGGGAAGAGAAGGAAATTAAACTTGAGCAAGATCACACACTGTGATTTGAACATACTCCTCACATTACATTACAATCCAGTTGAAAATTGAAACATAAGTAACTATAGACCATTATTTTGAAAGATATTAACAAACCCATCATGGAAATAAAATACAGTGCAAATTAATGTTCACCTCATGCATGCTGGCACATACACTACCGGATCCTCAAGTTTGGCAGGAGCAAGGCTAGGATCTGCCAAAATAGCATCAAAATCCTTCCATTGGGCATTCAAATTTGCTCTTAAGAATGCAACAATCAACCCTCCCACGGTCCTTCTCATCAATTCCCTAGGACCCATTCCATTTTTACACACACACTTTGACAAAATGTTCCCTATTATCCCATTTATTTCATCATCTAACATGTCCATGTGACCATATTCCTTTGCAACAAAATGTGCACAAGGTGGTTTGCACTCGTTGAAAAACTCCTTGTGGTTCACCCCATTTGGTGCACACGGTGGGGAACAACAGTTAACCTTCTCTGGGCCTAATCCAGTGCCAATTACAACAACGGGTATGTCCAAATTGAAGGATCGTGGCACACCCGTTAGAATATGAGGAAGTGATCGACAAACCTTACACTTAGATATGCCAGCCACTGGGTCTATGCCTATAAGTGCTGAAAATTGTAGCTTAGTTTTGGCATAACCGAGTGCCACTGCAAAAGCCGTTTTTCCACCCTTACTATGACCCGCTAGAACCACATTCTCCAATTGGGCTTCAACATTCTCCATAAGTAGAGGTTGAAGCCCCTCAGCTAGCCAATCCACAACTTTTCCTACAAATTTAACTTCACTGGGTCCAAACATAGGCATGCCATTGCAAAACTAACACAGGGAAAGGCAAAAGCTGAGTTAGAGAATCCAGAAATAAAAATACTTTTGTAGGTAAAAAATTTCACACGGTTTTATATTAATTAATGATTTACATACAATTATTTTTCTTGTTAAAAATCACATAATTTAATATATTGATAATATTAAATGTTATAATTTCTTATCAGAACTAATCATTTATTAATTTTTTATTGTGTATCATTGGACAAACATTAAAAAATTGTTTATTTGTTAACAAAAGTATAAAAGAAATAATGGTACATAAATTGAAGGATAAATAATTAGATATAAAATGCTGAGAATAGAGATATACCAGCTGAGGAGCAACGACTATGAATCCATGAGAAACTATGTGGCCTAAGAGCTTAGAGTAGAAGCTATTGAGAATGCAAAAGCCATGGCAGAACAATATTACTGGGTATGCACCAGTGACTATTGGTGTAAAGATTAGCAATGGTTTTGGTGGTGAGGAGGAGGAAGAGGTGGATGTGTCAACGTTGAATTGCTTCCATTGGATATCTCCATTTTGAAAAACATCTGTGGAAGGCAATTCTTGTTGAGTTCTGTGCTCCATCATCACTCTTCTCATACCAAAGCCTTTGCTTCTAAGTGAACTTTAATTTAAATTTAAGTCTTTGCATATGTAGCTCAAGTAAATAACTTTTCATGGGTTGTGTAAAGTGTTAGTGTCACGTTGGAATTTTGTTTTGTTGAGGAACTGTGTTTGTCCATTTAGGATAGAATTATTAATGGGATGAAAGTTTAAGGAAAAAAATAAAATTATTAAAAAGGTTATCATCATCTGTGCTCAGGAAAGGTTGCAATAGACATGCAATTATTTCACCCTTAGGATGGTTACTATTTCGGATAAATGATAAAGTATTTACAGGCACAAATCAAGAAAAACGAACATCTTCAGTGGCAATAGCAGGTGATTGGTCAACGTGTATTATTGATTGAGAGTGGCTATGGGCTCTGAAATATATTCTCAGAAATCTGAATAATATACCCAATTTGAGTACTTCTCAAACTACACTTCATTCAATAACATTATTTTGCTGTTTAAAAATGAAAAAACAAACGGGTGAGTAAAATTAATTAGTTCATTAATTAAACATTAAAATTTTAATACTTTATATCTTAAGTAATTTATAATATATATTTCATTTAATAAAATTCATTTATTCAATTATTTTATTTTTAATATTCAATTTTTAACTGATCCTGTGGATGGCATGAATTGAAACACTAGTTTCTTATAATAGTATACGTATCTAACTATTTATTTGGGTAAACTGCGTAAACACCGTAAGCCTTCCAAAAATGTAAAGTATAGGTATGATTGTATTATTTACATAAATTTTATAAATTTTTTATTTTGGTTTTTAATTTTTATATTTTTATTTTCTAAAAATAAAGTAAAAGGTTAAAATAAAAAACAGTATTTTTTAGCAATTTAAAAATAAAATAATATATTTATAAAATAAAAATAATTGATATTATTATCAATCTCATAACTAGAGTTGCATTGCTCCTCGCAAGCTGTGCTTCAGTTTTGGAAACAATATTCTTGAAATACATATTCCTGTTCCTTACATTTTGTAATTCAACATTGGAGATGAATGAACTAAGTTGTATGTAATTTTATTTTTATTTTTTGTATAACAAAACAATGAAACAAAAAGTTTAATTATACTAAACACGTAGAATTCAAATCCAAACAAATTATTAGAATTTGATTCATTCTGTAACTGATAAATAAAGATATTCAGTTCAAACGTCAAGATTTATGATTTAATTTTCTAGTACAATTAAGCTTCAATTTCTTGATAATTCAATCTTAAATCTCAATCATATATAAACATTAACTCGGTGTAGGAAAAAAAATCGCATCAAGGTTAAAAAGATTGCAGATCACTTAGTTATTAATATATATCCTTAAGTAATCACACAACTAAGTCATTAAATTCAAATTTGAATAAATTCTCCAATTTTCAGTTATAAAATCTCTACAGAATCATACATTTGGGTGATCAATCCAAAAAAGTATCACGAAATAATTAAATAATGATGTAATTAAATCACAATACATTGAATTAAATATAAAAGATGTGATTAAAAAATTGAAAAAAAAAATCCTCATTTACTAACTTAAGAAATTAAGCATAAAATAAGATAAGAAAGAAATTAAACTTGAGTAAATCATATACTGGAATTTGAACATAGTCCTCACATTACATTACAACCAGTTGAAAATTGAAACATAAATAACTAAAGGTCATTATTTTGAAAGACCTTAACAAGTCCATCATGGAAATAAAACACCCAAATTCATGTTCACTTCATGCATTAGGTGCACACCAACATGGGCCAACAATTATCCTTCTTCGTAGGCCCAATCCAGTGCCAATTACACAACCGGTATGTTACATATATATATATAGCATGATGGTTGCTATGTTGTAAAGCTTTTACTAAAGCACAGCTGGCTTCTCCCAACACTAGAGAAACGACCATAGGCCCAAAAGCATAGATACTTTAGACTTCTAGAGAGGCATGGAAATACAAAGATATCCTCAAGTAAACTTCAAGTCGTTCCTTACTTCCACATTGAGCATAGAATCTCCTCTGCTTGTGCATGAGAAATATAAATGTGGCTTAATAAATGGAAGCAGCAAGACCCAACATCAATCAAGAAATAACAATGGCATATAATACATCATCTGATTCTGAAAATGAAATCATCACAACACGGCCAAAGCTCTTTGGAAATGAGAAACCGATACATGAAGTTCTTGGAGGAGGAAAAGGTACCATTAAATTCAATTTTATAGTTCGTGGGTCATATTATGTTATATGAATTCATGTTGGGTTAGGGGCAGCCCCACAAACCAAAATAGAAGTACTAATAATGACCATGCTCTATGATTGACATATATCACAATAAATTCATTATTATTGACATAATATTGCAAACTAGTTGTCATGTAGATTTGATGAAGTTTTGACTTTCGAGAATATTCTATGAATTGATTATGATGAATTGAAAACTTCTGCAGTGGCAGATATTTTACTGTGGAGGGACAAAAATATATCAGCTGCGCTTTTGGTTGGGATGACGATCATATGGTTTCTATTTGAGGTTGCTGAGTACAATTTCGTGACTCTCCTTTGTCACATTTCCATCACTACCATGCTTGTGCTATTCATATGGTCCACGATTGCAGATATATTAAAATGGTACCTAATTTACTTAAACTCAAAATATATTTGCCTCACATTTTTTAATAGTCTATATATTGTCAAATAATTCATAATTTTCAGAGTGATTCAGCATAATCAACTTTTAATTCAAATTCAAACTATGTAAGTGATGTCTAAATGAAGTTTGATTTTCTTGTATGTTTTAGGTACATACTTGTACATCTTCTCGCCATTTAATTGTTACAAATTCATATAGCTGCCGAATCAATTAATCCATTAAAAATGGTTATAGCTCCTAAAGATTTCATTGGAATTCTAAAATATCAACTTCAAGGGAGATCCTTATTGAGTGATATATTTTCTATGATTATTTTAGAAGTATACATAACATGTTTGGAATCATGTTTTAACATACTTAAAAATCACGTTAAAGCAGAAACTATAATTAGTAGGGTTAAAATAAATATTAATCTGTAAGTGATCAGATAGGAATGCAAACACACTTGTAGTTTTATTCTCTTTAGAAATCAAATAGCATATTAAGGTCTATATCATTTTATCCTCTTCAGGAAAGGTCCCCAAATCCCGGACATTATTTTACAAGAATCTTTCTTCCATGATGTTGCTTCCATCCTCCACAGAAGATTTAACCAGTTATTACCAATGCTCCTCCATATTTCATGTGGAATAGACCTTCAACTCTTTCTTCTGGTATCACCAATGTTCATTATCCTTCATTAAACTAAGTTCTCAACCAACAAGTGAACTTAAGTTCTCATAATTCTCAAAACATTTTCAGATCATTGTTTCCCTCTACATATTGTCAGTGATTGGAACCTATTTCAGCCTTTTCAATATGCTATATATTGGTAACACTTCTTCGGCTTGTATATTTTTGTTTATGATTTTATATTGAAGTTTGAATGTACTAAGGTTTCTTCTTTCTTGTTGATGGTTCATAAATGACAAGGTTTACTTTGCATGCAAACGCTGCCAATTGTTTATGAACGGTATGAGGAAGATATAGACAATTTGTTTGGAGAGACTATGTTAGTTCTCAGGAGAAAATATAGAAGGTTTAACAAGAACTACCTCAACAAAATTCCCAGAGGACCAGTGAAGGAAAAGAAAACCCAATAAATTAGTCTGGAACTATCAGTTAAATATTGTGCTGTACATAAATACATAGTTTCTATCATATATATATATATATATACACATGCATAAGAAGATGGATGAAGATTCTTTCCAAGAAACAAAGCCCAAACAATGTAATGATTTTATTTTTCATACATGTCCAATTGTGTGATTTCAAGGTATTTTTACATGGATTGTTTGTGTGAGGAATAGTTTCTGTTACCCATATAAATCCAATTGTCATTCTTCTTTGCTAAGCAATTTCTTATATATGAAGAACACTTTGTCCAACACAAAATGGATCAGAGACACTTTTTCTGTCCAACACAAAATGGATCAGAGACACTTATTCTGGTACACATCTTTCAAACAGAGATAGTAAATTTAAAATAGACAAAAAAAATTTAAATTAAAATATAATTATCATTTGGAAAGAAAAAGAATGGTGATAAAATTTATTTATTTTTTCTTTTATTCGGAAATAGTTTACTCAACTTTGAACTGATGAGTGGTCCATGTTCCCAATTAGACTTGTCTATGGTAAATAGAGGTCATCCAAGATGAGTTTTCCACCGGAAAGATTTACTTACATAAAATACAACTATAAATCTTGACAATACAATTGTACTTGTCACATGACACAGCATAATGTAGTGGAGCAGTAGTCTCTAACCCACTAAATGTGGCGAACAGATAGTCCTTAGATTACAAGAATTCCACTAATATTGTGACTACAAACAGTGCGTGGAATCAAAATTGAAAACGTTCCATATAGGCCTGCAATTTCTGCTTCTGTATTTATAATAAAATTGAACTTGGAAAGTTGAATCCGAATTCTACCTCTTATTTATACAGTTATATATTATTTTTTTATCAGGATAAAAATATAAGATATTTAATGTAAGTGAATGTCAAAATGTAGGTTGATTTTCTTGTATGTTTTATGCACATACTTGTACATCTCCTTGCCATTTAATCTTGACAAATTCATATCTTCTTTTGTTGTTGAATGCTAGCTGCTGGATCAATTAATCCATTAAAAATGGTTATGGCTCCTAAAGAGTTTTTTTTTTTTTTTTCTTTTATTCTATTTTTAACATAGCCTCACTTATCAGATGCAAAATAAATTTATCCTACATCTTAATCTTTTATATATATATATATATATATATATATATATATATATATATATATAAACTTTATCTAATAAGAAACCTAAGTTAAAAATAAACACGATAAAATAATATAGTGTATCTAATTTATTATTATAATATACATTAAATATAAAATAGGATAAAAATCTATCAGACTATTGTTCTATTTTACTCTTATTTAGCTATCATATTTTTTATTATTTTTATCTTATCATGTACATAAAACAATTATTAAGAATTACTAATGCTAGAGTTTCTGTCTTTGTTTCTTCTTTTGAGAAAAATTTGAATCATTCCATACATAGGATTAAAGTTTCTGATTTTAGATTTAGAGTTCAATCTAAATTTTAAATCTTACTTATATTTATATAACTAGAGTTTTATTGTTTTTATTCACATTACAAATGTATTTAGAAAATATATAGTATAACCACATCATTAAATAATTTTATATTTAGATAATCTTCGTTACACGCTGCATCAATTAATATGCTATACGTATAAGCATTTGGATAGATTCTTTTCAAAATCATTTCATGGAACAAACTAACTGATTTATCTAGTTGACCCAACTACAAAAACTATGAATTATACTACATTACTATGTTAGGCTGAATGTTTCTCCCTTCAATCATTCAACAGCTAAATGACAGTTCTTGTTTGTCTCACTTTACACAATCTGTTGATTAACATTTCGTAAGTAACTTTCTTTTTGCACATGAGAGATATAATACAATTGTGTCTGAAATTTCTAACTTTGAATTTATCACAAAATGGAAAAATCATGAATTATACTACGTTGGAAACCCCTCCCCTATACTTAATGCAAAACATTACCCTTAATGTTTAGAGAAAACCAAATTAAATGAATGAAAAGAGAATAATTGAATAAAAGGAAAAAAGTTTCCTAATAATTCTTGACGCAACGACTTTTGGTGAGAGACTAACGACTTCTAGTTTCTAGTAAGAGAACACAGTCATGCTAAAATCTTAAGCACGCTCATACTTATAATGTAACTCGGACAATACTGAATAAGATAAATTTACATGATGTTACACTTTGCATAAACAATTCATTAGAATATTTAAAGAATAATTCCTGATAATCCTTGACGCGACGACTTCTGGTAAGAGAGTAATAACTTCTGTTTTCTAATGCTAGAGTTTTCGTCTTTATTTCTTCTTTTGTGAAAAATTTAAGTCATTCCATATATAGGATTAAAGTTTCTGATTTTGGATTTAGAGTTCAATCTAAATTTTAAATCTTACTTATATTTATATACCTAGGATTTTGTTGTTTTTATTCACATTACAAATGTATTTAGAAAATATATAGCATAACCACATCATTAAATAATTTTAGATTTAGATAATCTTCGTTACACGCAGCATCAATCAATATGCTACACCTATAAGCATTTAGGTCGATTCTTTTCAAAATTATTTCATAAAACAAACTAACTGCTTTATCTAGTTAATGTTTCTACATTACTACATTACTACATTAGGCTGAATGTTTCTCCCTTCAATCATTCTCAATAGCTGAATGACAGTTCTTGTTTATCCTACCTTACACAATCTGTTGATCAGCATTTTGTAAGTAACTTTCTTTTTGCACATGAGAGATATAATACAATTGTGCCTGAAATTTCTGTCTTTGGATTTATCACAAAATAGAAAAATCATGAATTACACTACGTTGGAAACTCCTCTCCCATACTTAATGCAAAACATTTCCCTCAATATTTAGAGAAAATCAAATTAAATGCATGAAAAGAGAACAATTGAATAAAAGGAAAAAAGTTTCCTAATAATTCTTGACGCGACGACTTCTGGTGAGAGAGTAACGACTTCTAGTTTTTAGTAAGAGAGCACAGTCATGCTGAAATCTTAAGCACGCACATACTTATAATGTAACTTGGATAATACTGAATAAGATAAGTTTACATCATGCCCCATTTTGCATAAACAATTCATCGGAATATTTAAAGAATAATCCTTGATAATTCTTGATGCAACAACTTTTGGTGAGAGAGTAATGACTTCTGGTTTCCAGTGAGTGAGCACAAACACGCTGAAATCTTAAGCACGCCTATACTTGTAATATAACTTGGCCAATACTGAATAAGATAAGTTCACATGATGCCCTAGTTTGCATAAACAATTCATGAAAATATTTAAAGAATAAAAGTTTATCCTAATTCCCTTTAATCACAATCTTTGAAAAAGAGAAATATCAACTTTGAAATACTCACCCTTAGCGAGACACTCCAACAATTAATATTGGGCGTATATGGGGGCATAGGAAGCTTTGTAGAAAAGAAGAGGTAAATTTCTTGAGAAGGATGATGGAGAGTTCTTGGACATTGCCACACACATTGGTGGAATTAGGTTAAAGAGGTAAATTTTTTGAGAAGGATGATAGAGAGCATTGAGAATGACATCGCCACACATGTTGATGGAATTAGGTTAGAAATTAGTTTTCGTACAGAGTTTTTCAACTCAATTTCTTTACTAGCATATTTGTAGGGTTACTAAAGCCACAACTATATTGAAAAAATAATAAATTTGTGTCTGAAATTTCTTCTTTTGGATTTATCACAAAATGCAAAAACTGTGAATTATACTACTCCTCTCTCATACTTAAAACAAAACATTGTCCTCAATATTTGAGAAAAATCAAATTAAATGCGTGCAAAGAGAACAATTGAAATAAATGAAAGAGGTTCCCTGATGGTGTGACAACTTCTGGCGAGAGAGCAACAGCTTCTAGTGAGAGAGCAAACTCATGCTTATCATGTAACTTGGCCAATAACGAATAAGATAAGTTCACATTGTTCCCTATTTTGCATAAACATTTCAGTAGAACATTTAAAGAATAAAAATTTGGCCTAATTCTCTTTAATCACAATCTTTGGAAAAGAGAAATGGCAACTTTGAAATGCTGAGCCTTAGCGAGGCACTCCAACAACATTGGGGGTAGTAAGACTTTGTAGAATAACAAGAGTTAAATTTCTTGAGAACGGGTGATGGAGAGCACTGGGAATGACATCGTCACACATGTTGACGGAATTAGGTTAGAAATTAGTTTTCTTAGAGTTTTTTCAACTCAATTTCTTTATTAGCGTAATTATATTAACAAAGCCACAACTACATTGAAAAATAATACAATTATGCCTGAAATTTCTACCTTTGGATTTATTATAAAATGTGAAAACTCTGAATTATATTACATTAGGAACCCCTCTCCCATACTTAAAGCAAAACATTGTTTTCAATGTTTAAAGAAAACCAACTTAAATGCATGCAGAGAGAACAATTGAATAAAGGAAGAAAATATTCCCTGATAATTCTTGACGCGACGGCTTGTGGTGAAAGAGTAAAAACTTCTAGTTTCTAGTGAGGAAGAACAGCCTTGCGAAAATCTTAAGCATATTCATGCTTATAATGTAACTTTGTTCATCTCAAATCCTTCTCTTACTACCTTGTCTTGAAAATGCAATACCTTTGTGACATTGCTTGGAGACAGAGACCATTGATTAGTATGGTCAAAGTTATAGTATTTAGCTAATAACTCAATCTAAAGATCTTGGCTAATATCAAATAAGATAAGTTCATATGATACCCCTGTTTGTATAAACAATTCATAAGAATGTTCCCTAATAATTTTTGTCGCGACGGCTTGTAGTGAAAGAGTAACAACTTCTAGTTTCTAGTGAGGGAGCACGGCTTTAGAAAATCTTAAGCACGTTCATGCTTATAATATAACTTGGTTCATCTCAAATCCTTGTCTTACTACCTTGTCTTGATAATATAATACCTTTGTGACATTGCCTGAAGATAAAGATC